ATCATCAAATTCATTAATTAAAGACCAAATAAACAACAATTAAACTCTCTCTCTCTCTCTCTCTCTCAAGCAAAGTTCACCATACGCGTTCAAGTGATTAAGAAGATTCCATATTAATATAAACACTAGTCCTATATACATATATATAGAGGTACCTCCTGTCCTGTGACTCCTCATCACTTAGTCTTCATATCTTCCGAACACAAGACATATTCATTATTCAGCACCAGATACAAAATCAAATCAGCTTTTCTCATTTGTCTTTCTTTCTTCCCACCCACATTTTTGTATCATCAGCTACCTAATTAAGCACCTTCTTTTTGCACCAAATCATCAAGCTACGTACTCGATTGTTGACGATCGATATAATGATGAAGATGTCCAAGAAATCTATTAATGGTGATCATCATCATCATCCTGATGTGGGTCGTAGAGCATGGAAGCAGCTGCGTCTGGCATTGCTTTGGGCAAGAAAAGGCGGTGTCTTCAGACGACGCCTCATGATGGAACTGCGGGTCGTCCCCAACTTCCTCAAGAGCCTTACTCATCATCATCATCATCGCAATGATAATCAATATTACTTCGAGCGTCAGCTGTCCTTCGACAAGACCCCCATTTTCCCCACCCTCAAAATGAACCGTCGAACATCCTCCTCCTCCTTGCGCTTCATTAATATCCCTTGCTTAAACCCACCATTAGTACTGGATTTTGATGATCATCATGAAGTCGACATGATCATTAATAATCATGATCAATTAGATGATGATGATGATGATGAGGGAATGATAACTGAAGATAGTACTACTATTAATGTGCATGAAGAAAAGGGATGTGCAGATTATGAGGACGAATTGGTTGATATAAAGGCGGATGAGTTCATAGCTAAATTCTATCAGCAAATTAAGCTCCAAAGACAGATTTCATACCTACACTACTCCTCTAATACTACTATACACTCAGACGCATGCTTAATTAATGTATAATACACACACCACACCGTCCATCCCAAATCCCAAATTTCCCTCTTTTCTTTTCCCATTGTTTCTTGTTTTCATTGTATTTTGTAAAAGAGGCAATATTATGGCGGGTGGTGCTAGAGGCACCAACTTTGGGCACTAACTCTTTAATAGAGGTGGGGTCCGCCAATACACTGGGGTCCACGCTCTATTAGAGAGTTGGTGCCCAAAGTTAGTGTCTCTAGCATTTTCCTATTATGGCGGCATTTTTGTAGATTGACAGGTTAATTAGAGTGTTTCCAACAATATTAATATTAATAAATAGAGCTTTGCAGTTCATAGTCTCTTCTCTTCTTTGTTTTGTTTTCTTTCACAAACGATATTGGAAGAAGGCAAATTCAAACACATAACCTTGGATAGATGCAAATTTTAAAAAACTACTCTCAACCACTTGAGAACTACCAAGCCTCTTAATTCGTCTTTTTATTTTGAACATGGTTAAGAATCTTAAAATGGAAGGAAATTGAACGCCCATATGATCATGATTCATGACCATGAGGTGCTAACAGACTACAGCTCCGATCCTAATGTATCAGTCTTCCTTTCGCGCATACAGAGTATAGTGTGAGTGTGCGGCATCAACTGCAATATTGTACTATCATTTGGCCTTACTAAAGTAAAGAACGTTACACGTACATTTTCCATTTGACAAATTAAAAACAAAATCAAAATATTTTAAAACAATAATCTGTCATTTGTTTTGGGTTGAACCGAATGCCTGCATATTTTACGTGCGAATAGATGATGAAAAGAAAATCCCAAGAGTTATAGAAATCCTTCCAAAAAATAAGAATTTGAATAAGCTTTGAACTGAGCAGCACGATAAATCGTGTAACCAGTCAGATAAGATGCTAGCTCGGCAATCAGGATCCACTTTCATCGTAAACTTCCATGTATTTATCCACCATCGTACGGCAATCTCTATTTGAGTTTGAAGTTATGCAAGTGCACTGATCAAAGTAACAAAATTAGATAAGACATTAGCTTTTACTACACTAGGCCGCATCCGCATCCACATTCAAATCTACCTTGAAAAAATGATCTGGGAATATTGAGACAGCAACTCAATGCTGTCAACTTGTATTTGGATGCCGGTCAAGATATGTTTCCAACTGCCCTGTTGCTGCCAAGATAAGACCTAGAATTGCAATGTCACAGATGTCAAATGAAGTACAGAGACTTAACGACTTGATAGAGCTTCACTGAATGTAAATGGGAATTGTAAAGAGACAATCCGTAATGCACTTCGAAACAAGCATGGCCCAAGTTCTATATCAAACACTAGAGATACAGCAGAGAGACACAGTAATTCAAAGATGCACGTTGCAGCATATACATGTCTCCCAGTAATAACAGGAAATGCGAGTATATGACATCTAAAGCTCACTTGTTTGTACTAGTACCTAAAAAGAGAGCTGAGGGCTTCCCAGGCCGTGATTTAAATTCTGGATGAAATTGCACTCCTACATAGAATGGATGGCTTGGAAGCTCTAAAATCTGCAGAACAGAAAAGTAACACAAATCATGTAAAAAGTCAAATATTCAAATTCAATCCTTTTCAGTAAATGGTAAGAAAGGATTGTGTGCAACTATAACCAAGTAAATTCTGACAAATGCTCACTACCAGTGAGCATAAGACCAGCAGAAAACCCACCTCCATTCGTCTTCCACTGTCATCCTTCCCTACAAATTTTAGGCCCGCTTCTTCAAGAATTCCAATAACATCTGGGTTCACCTGCATCATGACGGAATCAGACCATGTCCACCACATAAAGGCACTTGTGAAAGATCATGTTTCACCTGAACTAAATTACAACCAACCTCATATCTATGCCGATGCCGTTCATCCACATACTCCGAGTTATGGTACCTAGAAATTGATAGCAATAACAGATTATGCATGTTAAAAGTGGATGCTAATAGTGGAAAACTAAGAAGTTTCAAAGTGGTGGTCTTCTGGGATTAGTTTTGATATAAGCAGTCACAGATACAACACATAGTTGAGATGTCAGGAAAGACTTCAGGGAAAATAATAAACTAGCCAACAAAGTTCAAGAGTTTTACAGTATGAATGCAATAAAGGTAAAAGTTCAATTGCGTGTGCCATGGGTTCTTCCAGACCGGCAGTTTTTGAACACATGGCATTCGAATTGACTTTACTGTATAAATGCAACAAGGTAACTGAACTTATAATTTGAATTTTCAGTAACACACAGGTTATTTGTTGTATTTCTCAAGTTGAACATAGTAATTGATAATGAACATACAGCTTTGAAGTAATGCAATCAGGAGTCTGGAAAAGTGTTCTTCTGGATCCAAGTCTCATTGTGCTTCCCATATGCGTTCTTGAACCCTATATGCAGACGTAAAAGAATGAACTATCACGGGAAGAATGTTACAGCCATATGTATTTCATAACTGAATAGGAAAGCATCACCATAAATTTTTACCTCGGGCATAAAAACTACAACAGGATTTGGTGTATGTTCATCGAACTCTGTGCTGTTCGCCCTTTCTAAACTCAAAACCTAAAACAAGTAATTAAATTAGGGCTGATATACAATCTTAAAATTAGAAGAAAACATGTTAGTGAAAGAAATGTCACGTACGGATCTTGCGAACTCAATCACGGAAATCTGCATGCCCAAACAAATCCCAAGATAAGGAACATTGTTCTCTCTGGCATACTTTGCAGCTAATATCATACCTTTCACACCACGATCTCCAAATCCGCCAGGAACCAAGACGCATGCAGCATTCTGCAAATGTAGAATAGATCGAAACATAATTACCCAAACCCTCAACTATACTGGTGAGGGGATGATAATTTAGCTTAAAGCATACCTTTAGAGTCTCCCATGCAGCAGCATGTGCTTCTGGTGTCTGTGGGAGAAAGACAAATCTAAAGTAAAGATAATATGAACATGATATTAAAGCAAATCAGCACAAATGATGTGGTTCAATACCAGTTTGGCACTGTCATCTTCAAGGTCAGAAGCGGCAATCCAGTCAATTGATGGCTTTAAAGAACATGCGACGCAAGCATGCAAAAGGGCCTGCAAGAAAGTTTAGCCGTCATAATACAACAGACATATAGTTGGCGATTTATTAACAACAAAATAATCTAACAAGCATGTACGGCACAAAGCAACAGGGAGACATAGTAGCATTAACTCATATATTAACTGAATGTTATATGAATAACTAAATTCTAAGGTCTAAACTAGAGATCATATACACCATCTATCCAGCCAACAAAAAAATAGATCAGAAGTTAGCATCACACCTTCACTACAGATAGATATGAATCTGTAAGGCCAACATACTTCCCCACCATGGCAATCCTCACCTGCAAATATCAACAGATTATCATCTGACGAATCAAAAAATAAAAGAGATAATGTTCCAACATAGAGCATTGCACACTTATCTAATAACACTCACAGAATTTGTGAGATTATCGTAAGTCTCTGCCATCTTGGTCCAGTCTCTTAAGTCAGGAGGCATAGCAATGCTGAAACAGAACATTAAACACCAGTAAGTTAACATAGCCAACCTTCCTGTAATATATATATGTAGAATTTCGAGCATCATAATGAATCACAAATGTAGTCAACAATCACAATTGCAATCATTAGAGAGGGAGAGAGAGCACAAATATCAATTAAAGGAGTCCAAGACAGGCATAATTCTACGGAGAGATTGCTTTGTTCTCATTACACAGGAAGAATTTTAAACAGGCTGATGCTAATTATCAGTCCAGCACCAAAATTGAAGCCTTAAATCTGAAGTAAAGGTGAAACTTACCTTAGTAAATTTAGTTGTTGAAGAATTGAATGATGAGCATTTTGGTTCTGAACAGCAATGTGTCAAACAATAGTTAGAACAAAACTTTAGACAAAATGTAAAATAAGTATTTAAGCCTCCAAGGAGACAAAGAATTGTTATTTAACCCACCCTAAGTAAGAGAGGAACATGCCAAATGTTTGGTACATCATGGATATTGAGAATATTACCAGCCTGTAAGAAAACAAAAAATATATATATAAAACTTGTACTCAAGAAAACAAAGTTTGATGAGAAAAAAACCCAAATACGATTAAGTCAGCAACTTACTGCAACATGACAAAATTGTGAAAGTTTCTCCTTCGTATTTTCCAATAATGGCTGCAATATAGTCACACACAAAAAATTCATCTCCGCCAAATTTAATCTTAACAAAATAATGATAGAATAAAATAGAGAGGGAGTCAGGTGGCCACACTGCACCAATATGAGGTGTCCATGCAAGAATTAAATGGGACCAAATGGAAGTTCTCAGGCTAAATTTATCTGCTCATTTGACTTGTGTGAATGTAAGAACAAGACAGATGAAAAGAAGTACCTGCGCAGAGCGACATGCTAATAGATGAGGAGTCAAGCCTAATGCTCTTAGTTCCCGCACACTATGTTGTGTAGGCTTTGTTTTCTACATGAACACACACACACACACACACACACACACACACACACAAAGAGAGTGAGAGTCAGTCACCCAGAAAAAAAAAGAATCAAATTCTTCAAAAGATAGAGTCAACTTTAATATCTAAGATTACAAACTACTATGAGTAACTAATGAAGAAACATAACATTCAACAATTAAGTACAGAGTCTTACTTGCTCTCCAACAACACCCAGTACCGGGATTAGGCTCACATGAATAAGACAAAAGTTTTCTTGCCCTGAGGAAAGAATTAAATACACATAAGCAGTTATCAATAACACAATGAAAGTTCAAATCCAAGAGTATATCAACTCCATATGGAAATAATTGGTTACTTTTAGTTTTGGATATCCCACATTCCAATACATCCATACACCGGAAAAAGCAGAGCAGCAAGCTCTGGATGAAGTTTAAACAGTGGAAGTATAGCGAGTTTATTAGCGCTCATAACATATTGGACCAACAATCTAAACATGTCCTTATCAGATCTCATTGCACATTCCTACAGCAGTAAATGGATAATCTACTTTGACCACACAGCATAAAAACACAATCAACAATCTGAATCAAGCGTGTGGGTGAAGAAATGATCTCATAAATAGAACCATTAAAATTCCTATAAAAAAAAAGCATATACCACAACCTTACCAACTGAAAAAGACAATTGGCGCAGAGCCTCAATGAATGGCATGGATTCAATGTCACCTAAGAAGAAAGAAAATAGTTAGCTCTTGCACATAAACACATAGAAAGAACAATGAGTCATATAAAGTATCTATGTTTTAACTATCGCTTACCCACAGTCCCACCCAACTCTATAACACAAACATCTGCAGGGCCCTCTTTTCCATCGACAGGAATGAGAGAAACTGATTCGATCCAGGTCTTAATGGCATCAGTGATGTGTGGAACAACCTAAATCGACTCAAACATGGCAGGAAGCCAGTCATCAGTACTGTATGCAAGTGATAAAAAAAAAAATTAAAAAAATAAAGTTATAATTCATTTGTAATCTTGTATCATCACCTGAACAGTCTTTCCAAGGTAATCGCCTCTCCGCTCCTTATCCAGGACAGACTGATTTCAAAAATAAAATTGAGGAAACCCATTAAAAGACAAAATCAACATTTCATGAAGAGGATAGATGGAGACACATCCCTGTTAGGAAAATATAAGCACACACCTGATATATCTTCCCAGTGGTAATGTTGTTGTCCCTAGTAAGAGTGACATCTAGGAATCGTTCATAGTTGCCAAGGTCTAAATCAACCTATAACGATTAAAGTTTAAACTCAGGCTCAGCAGCAGCATAAACCATAAAGATAGTATTTCAGAGGCAAGGTGAAGTATTACGTACTGTCTTGGCACTGGTTAAGTGTATGATAAATATTTAAGCAAAAAAAGGAAAAAAAGTCCAAAGCGAAATACCTCTCCACCATCATCGAGAACAAAAACCTCGCCATGTTCAAAGGGAGACATGGTGCCAGCATCTGTGTTCAAGTATGGATCTGCAAATTGTTGAACCAAAATCAAATTAATAAAGAAAAAAATTGAAGCATTTATAGTAGAGATAGTAAGAAAGAAAGCGAAAAAAGAAAGAAGAAGAAGAAGAAGAAGAAGAAGAAAACCGATTTTGATGGAGGTGACGCGAAGGCCACAGGCTTTGAGGACGACGCCGATACTGCTGGCAGTGACGCCTTTGCCCAGCCCACTCACCACACCACCTGTTACCAAAACGTACTTCATTCTATCCTACTCTTCCTGCCTCACACACACACACACTCTCTCTCTCTCTCTCACACTCTCTCAGTCTGTGTGTGTGTCTGGCTGCAGAATTGAATTTGGAGTTGTAAACGTTTTGTTTTGTTTTGTAGGCGAAATGTTTGTGTTTATGTCTGAGCGGGAAACGTTATATGGCGGTCAAGTCGCTTTCGCTCGCTCGCTCGCTCTCTCTCTCTCTCTATCGGCTTTCTTCGTACACAAAATTATCCTCTGCCAGTGCCATTCGAGAGGGGTCAAAATCAAAATTGGAAGAAATAAAAGATTAATTAGCAAGAATAATAATATGCATAAAGTAGGCTCTTCCTCCGCTTGGTTCATTTTCTTTTATTTGCAAATTTATATATATAGCCTATAGGGAGGGGTTGGGTGGTTGGTTGGTTCATTTATTCCGTTTGCATAAAAACCTCATCTTTCTTCTGTTGCTTTAATCTAAAAATGATGCATTAGTAAGTGAGGGAGGAATAATCCCGGTTCCCGGCGCGGGATCTTCTTTTTATGAGGGGCTTCGGAGGAAAGGAGAGGGCATATCCCTTTTAGAGTGGCCTTTTTGTCTTTTTATTTTTTTGCTTTTTTGGGGGGTCATAAATTATAAAAAATCCAATCAACTCGTTCTTTTGCATGTAGCCCAGCCCAGCCCAGCCCATTGGATCTTCATTCATTTTGGTCTCTTGTGTAGCCAAGTGGATGCCAAAATTTTGTTGTGGTTGTGAAGGAAATAGGCGACGTCGTTTCGTGCTCCCTTTTATACGAATCTCGTGCAGAAGAACAGAATACTAGACATGAATTCTTGGAGAGGGAGGAGGTTGGTTTGGTACTTGGTAGAGTAGTAATCCAATGCGTCCAGAATCGAACTCAGCTGGAGCTGCAGAATCTTCATCATCATCATCATCAGCAGCAGCAGCAGCAGCTTCCGCTGCATCATCATCTCCATCTCCATCTGGGAAGCGGAGCAGAGATCCTGAAGATGAGGTTTACCTCGACAATTTCCACTCGCACAAGCGTTACCTCAGCGAGGTTTCTTTTCCTTCATTCTTTATCATTTCATCATTTTGATTTCATTGCCGTACATATGTTTGCTTGTGCTCTGCTTTATTTAACCTCTTCGTCGTCTGTCGTCTGTCGTCTGTCGTCTGTCGTCTGTCATTTGTCATCTGTCTTCGTATAATTTATTTGATGGAATCATACATGAAGGACTTTTCTTTTTCTTTTCAAGTTTGAAAATTTACTGCTTCTGACTCTGACTCTGATTCATTCATGGGTCTTCTTCAAGGAATTTTCTTCATTTGGAACTTTATTTTTTCATTAATGTTTTCAAACATATCTAGACCATTTCTGGCATGATAATATTTCCTTATTACCCTTTTCAATCATCACAGCGTCACATGCCATACTTTCCTCTTCACATATAACTTATACGCATATGAATAATCAGTCTTTGATCCTTCATTTCCCTCACAACTTGTTTCTTGTGCAGATTATGGCATCCAGTTTGAATGGACTGACAGTTGGAGATCCACTCCCTGAGAATCTCATGGAATCTCCAGCAAGGTCTGAGACCATGTTTTATCCAAGGTAATTTCTTATGTCACACTTGTATCAAACTTTTCTGTCAATTACTTGTATCTGGTTTTGGAAACTACTCCGTCCCAAATATGATAACTATGCTTATTCTCGTTATTTCATTATGCAACTTTTTTTTAATCATAACTTTCTGCTTCAGACTGTACGTTTAAGTTGGAGGGAGTAGTCGGTTGTCCAATATCTATTGTTAAAACATTTTCACATTTTGGTCAGCAGACTCGTTTCTCATGACTCAGATTCTTGCCTAGTTTTGATTGGTGTTATTGCATTTACTTAAATTTCTATCTTCTTTTGTCTTTTCTTTGATTACTTTCTTCTTTTGTTCTTATCTTTTTCCCTGAAGTTGGTGATATCATATGACTCAAACAGAATAGGCCATCTTATGGTATAGGTTCGATTGGATGTTGTTATGATAGACTCACATTACCTAGCGCTTGCAAGAATGTAATCATATTTCTTAGTATATTGAAGCCAGTTTACTTTGGGCCTTTTGCTTAGGTGGTAAAACCAGAAGGGTGAATTTGGTTTAGGTTTTAGTGCTACAGAACAATTGGAGGGGAAAACTTCAATCCAAAGACCGTACTTGATATGGCTGCAAACCGAAACTACCTACTTTGAAGATTTCTTGGCATGCGAACATAGTAGCAATCGCATAAAATTTTCTGTCTTCACTCATCTAAATGCAAGATTTGCTAGACAAGTGGACAGCTTGAAGTATATAGCCAGATATAAGACACTAGCATCAATGATTTTGAGCGACCCCTCACCAAATCTTATCTCATTTCCCTCAAGTCATTGGTTTCCACTTTAAACACGAGTTCTCTTAATAATCATGTGCTTTGCTTTCTCCATCTTGCTCCTTCCTAGTAAAGAGAAAATTTGACTTCCTTTATTATGCTGATTTTTCATTAATTTTTCACAACTTTTTGTTTCCAGGGATGAGATGTCGTTACAATATTCACCCATGTCAGAGGACTCGGATGACTCTCGATTTTGCGAGAACCCCATAAATACTTGCTCCTCCCAACCTGACAGTGTCCCCTCTAGTCCGGTCTCTCCATATAGGTACCAAAGACCACTTACTGGGTTTCCTTCCACTTGTTCAAGTACTTCACAGTCTTCACATGGCTGCACCGTCACTAATTTTAACTGCTCGCAGCCTCGTCAACGAGGCTCTGATTCAGAGGGACGATTCCCATCATCACCTAGTGACATTTGTCACTCTGCTGACTTGAGGAGGGCTGCACTCTTACGGTCCGTGCAGATGAGAACACAGCCATTTGCCCCACCTTCTGATGACATGGCATTTAGCTCCGTGCAAGAGCCTGTATCCTATATGAAGTCTTTAGTTGATGAGAGGGAATATCCAATTGCAGAGTGTTCTTCTATGGGTATCTCAGAGCCTGATTTTAAACAAGAGAAATCATGCAGGATGTTGGATATGGATGAGAAAGGAAATCATTCTGCAGATTAAGTTCTTCAATGATGTTCAGAGAGATATTGCTCGATTTGTAGAATCTTGAGTGCAAGGTGAGCATTTATTAGGTTTATCCTAGTTGCATATGAAGAGAAAGGCCATGCATGAATCAGATTTTCATTGCGTTCTGTCTGGTACATTTTCTGCAGTCAAATGTAAAAGAAGTTGCATTGTTTAGTCCCTTCCCTTATGCTAGGGACAGCTTAACTAACGCACCTGAGATTTTTGTAAATTATTCGTGTAAATTGTTTGATATTGTTAACTTAACATCGTCAATTACAAATCTGATTTCACTTCTTTGATTGTACCGTTGAAGTTTATCTAATGAAGTTTCTATTTGATTTTAAAAAAAAACACGATGTTCTTGAATTTTAAATCAACTGCAAAGAGACATAGGCGGATGAAGTAACAAATATGGGGTTATATATCTCCTTCGAAAGAAGCAACCATTTTGTCCATAAAATAATGACTCATAAGTACTTACAATGATTATACTCCATTAAACTTTATAATCCAAAATACCAAGAACGTGTGGCCAGTCAATCCTAAAAAATATAAACCAAACCCAAAGTCAGCATCTATTCATAATTCTCTTAATATCCACTGTGTAGTGCATTATCCATGGTATAGTTTCTCAGCTGTCACTGTTAGGAATACTACTGCTTCTGTCCGGTTGAGCCTCAAGATGCAACACGGCGTTATGCAGATACTCCAAGTCTTCTATGCACACTGTCTTCACACTGATTTGGCTTCTTAGGTCACCCAGATGACGGCTTATATCCAGTCCCAAATCGCAGTTAGCATTGATTTGCTTGCTCGTCACTGCAGGGGCGGAGTCTCTTGAATGTAAGTTAGCTGACCATTTGTGATCATTCACGACCATCTGATTCAACCTGTCAACCAAAGTTCATATATATCAAAAAATAAATTTTAAAAAGCAAAGAAAATAACCCAGGGGCATATGATTGACACCACCATCATCTCCATATGGTACCAACTACATTTTCTTTAGTTCACTGAAACCTGAATCTCTCAAATCAATTTATACGGTAAAGTTCACACTTCTCAGGGTGGAAGTTCAAGAGAAAAGATGATATCTAGTCCAGCATGTAGTACTTTAAAAAATGCTGTAACGCACTCTCCCATCCATATATACAAGCAAATATGTATCTAGAAAAATTACAGCGAAAATAGTTCATCACAATGCAGTAGTCGTATGTATCTATATGTCTCTAGTACTTTGCAGATTAAAGGTGGCTGATGCAATGGCTATTGATAAAGGGACAATGCAAACACAATCTAGAATGATGAAATCCAAGTATTTTCTTACTTTCTAATTAAACTTTGTATGCCCATGTTGTCTTTCACGCTAAACAAGGCATCCACTGCATCTGCTTTTGTCCTCACAACCCCCTCCAAGCTACCACAGGACATGCACATTGAGTATACTGCAGAATCACTTGTCTCCGAGTTTATGTTGGTAATTCTAATGGTAACTTCCTCTTGGTCATCTGGTGGATGAACGGGAAGATCAAAGCCTTTTGTAATAACCTCAAGATCCAAACTTGCTCTCCTGCTTGATTCTACGCTCTCGAAACATGCACATTAATTAATTATCAGGCAACCACGGAAAAAGAAGGTGGGGATTGGGGTTCAAAAGTAGCTGATAAAGCATGTGACATGTTCGTAAAAGCTGAGAAGACCTCTGTCAACAGGGAAGGTTGATTGCAGAAGGTATGTTCTCAATGGTAATAGGTCGGAGGCATTATGTGGTTAAGAATAGATCTGAAAAATTGATCCAGATATCAAGCTAAGATGAATAGTTGGAGAAGAGTTACCCCGTTTAGAGGAAACATCTTTCGAGCTGATGCTGCTTTTTGAAGGCTTTCCAGACGATTTTTTCTTACGATTAGTTTTCTGCTTCAAATGACAATTTCAAGAACACATGACTATGATTAAATTCAGTAATAATCATGAAACTCCAAGCAGAGGTAGTAACTATATCGCAGATGTGTTCAAATTAACAAAACCCAAGCCTAAATGAAATATACACAGTGATAACACAGAGTATGCAGTTGGGACATTGTAAGCGTACCATATAAGGCTCAGGCTTCTCTGTCATCAACTTCCTAGGATTACTTGGAGCTTTAGGCACTGGGGAGCCCAATTCTGAGTAATCATCATCTTCAGAAGGTGAAGAATTAAAGGACCGGGAAAACGTTGTTATGCAAGACAAAGCCCTCGCGGATAATGGGTTATCTATCCTGGCATTACATCTGCCATCCAAAGTGTAAGTTAATAATATAAATCTAAAGTTTCAAACAGAAATTGCCAAAGTACAAAATGCAGTCGAATTCAAATTCAGCAGCAATTGATAACACCGTTGACAGACACGAGAACAAACTGGCAAGAAGCGTCAAAACTCAAAAGCGATGATGTATTCTAATTCTAATGCTTGTGAAGTAACGAAACTAGGAAATTCAACTAAAAGGAGTAAAGTCCCTTTAAGTTTACACTCTACAATTCTGAGAAAGTTGAATTCAATCGCTTAGATAGAAATTGGAAACCATGTCGTCTAAAGTTGCTCAATCATTATAGATATTAAAAATGCACATTGTCGCTTATGCTTAGAGATAAATTCTGAAAGAAAAAAAAAAGAAATTAAAAGAAAAATACCTTTGATTTGAAAACCTTGGATAACAGAGGTAAAATTCGAAAAAGAAGGAGGTACTAGTAAGTACCTGAGCTTGACTGCGGATGAAATGAAGCTATGTTGTTCACCTGGAGAAAGAAAAGAATGAAAAGCAAGGCGAAACCTCAGAAATCAGATGTAAGTACTAGGTTATGAGTCTTCTGACCAATGATAGTGAAGGCTCGGAGGCCAATATATTTCAACTTCAACATCCCCCGCCGCCAACAACCGACCGCCGCAGGGTCAAGGCTAAACGGATTATCAGCAGCAGCACAGCACGGTTAAGAGGTTACTCTGCCCTGCTAACACGACGTCGTCTTTAGCACATGTAGACTATGTGGGACAAATACCCTCAATACGTCTTCACACGTGGACAATATATATTGGGTGACGTAAAAGCATGTGTTGCCGTTGGGCCCAACACATGAAGCCTTGTTATGATACCCTGAAGTTAAAGTTTCACCCCAAAACTAATTGGCTATGAGGGAGTAGCCCAACTCCTTATAAACCCCGACTTAGTCCTTTAACTTTTCAATGTGCGACAAATACTCAACATTCTTGTTGATTGTTTTAAACAAGCAATTTGGTACTCAATTTCAAAAAAATAAAAACCAAGAAGTATTATCGCCTATCTCTTTTCGAGTTGGAATCCGAATTCAAACCAAATTGAAATAAGACTATCCAATATGGAAGAGGTCTGCAAAACCACATTAGAAATGAACCGGCAATGGCGACGTTGTTGTGACGGTGAAGGGTAGCGGGCCGGATGGTGGAGAGTAGTGGTTCTCATGCTTCTCTTTTGGAAGAATATTTTATTATGAAATATTATTTTTTTCAAAGAGAAATAAGAAAAAAAATTCCATGTCATCTTTCATTAATTGAGGTGGCATACCCACATTAGCTACCACATCAGATGATCAACTAATGTTGTCAATTAAATATGTCTAAATAGCATTACTGTAATCCAATCTAGATGGTAATTGTACAAAACTGAAAGATTTCAGTTGGCATTTGTGCAAACATTAATTGAAAAAAGAAAACGAGTAATTAATTAAGTAGAAACTAAACTAACTAACTAGGAGTGTATTAACTTTCAACGTACGTCTATCACGAAATGAAATGAACAAAATGAAGAAAAGGGGCGATACAATATATAACAAGTAAATGAATTTCAAGACAGAAGCCAAGCCACCATCGCATTTTGTTTGTCAGCGTCCACGGCCTTTCTCATCATCGATGTATCATAAGTGGTAGTGTCTCCTTCCCAGTTAAGATGACGATCAATGGTATTAGCAGCAGCAGCAGCAGCAGCAGTAGTATTACTAGTAGTAGAAGAAGAACAAGTACCCTCCTCCCACAACCAAGAAAGCATATTTTCTTTATCATCATCATGATCCCATAACTCATGCCCTGCTTCGACAACACTCTCCCAATCCCATAATATATGATTGTTATGATCACGATCATTTCCATTTGCAGCAGCAGCTTGACCATCCTCCATATCAAAATAATAACTACCAGCAGCTGCCGAAGCTGAAGCTGAACTACTTGAAGTAGCAGTCATTGACATTATTGAAGAAAAGCATAGTTGTCCGTTTGATGACGAGCTCAAATGACCACAAGTAGTAGCAGTAGCAGTAGTAGTAGTCTCTACCTGATATACCTCATGAGTAACGCCCATGGCATGATCATGTTGATGGTCACTCAAAACCCCATTTGAATTTGGATCCTTCTGCAGTAACTCAACATTGTCCATCAATTCATTAAATGTACCCAACAACCCACCATCAAATTCAATGCCGCCAGATTCATCCAAGTCATCGTCCTTGTTCTCGTCGTTATGTGGATGTGGTCCTAAAAGCATTTCTTGACTTTCCTTCTGACACTGATCAATATTGACAGGACATAGCCCATCATGATCACGAGTCTCCTTCTTCTCCACCTCCACCTCCACCACCACCTCCTCCTTCTCATCCTCATCCTCAGTAGTAGTAGTAGTAGTAGTTGAGCTCATGAGGACCACTGGGATTGCTAGTCCTCCTGCTTCCTCCTGCTGCTGATGATCATGATCATGATTAACAAGGTTGTCGACCCTGCAGTCGTCCATGTGATGAGGATGATGATCATGATGATCAGCAGCTGGGTCAGTCATTAATACCATGTAATCGCGGTGCATAGTATCAATAATATTATCATTAGGCCCAGGCAAGGACGTCTTCTTCTCCAGGGCAATCGCCTCATCATCAGCAGCAGCAATATTTGTAATCTCCTTCTGTCCCTTGTTGTGACGTTGGGTATAATTAGTAGAATTAGTAGTGGTGTATGTTTTGCTCTTCTTCATGGCCCAGCGACTGGTTCTACCGCCTCTTCGCTTGGAAGGAATATTATTACTAGCAGCTGCTGGTAGGCTACTCATTTGATCACTAGTAGTAGTAGTAGGCCTTCTGAAGGTGTCAATTTTCCTACTCAAATGAGAGTTCCAGTAGTTCTTGATTTCATTATCCGTTCTTCCTGGTAATTGACTTGCTATCAAAGACCACCTGCGTAATCATATTTATCACTTTAATCCATTAATTAAACATCTACTACGC